GGATCCACCAGCTGCTCTGTGGGAGAAAGACGAGAAATCTCCTCTTATGCAATTTATTGCCTCTAAAAAGCTGCTGGAGGGTCAGCTATCAACTGCAGGCCATCATCCTAACTAAGTATTAAGTATTCTTCGGGAGGATAGGCACGGTGAGTGATCTGCTTCCAAAAGGTCAGAGCCTTGAAAACTTTGTTGAACAGTTCTATTCTGTACCAAGGCTCTGAATTGGTCCATTTCTCTAAGGGAGAAAGATGGGCAGTCTTCTTCAGGAAAGATTTACAACCTTTGGAAACCTGGTGGTGGTGGTGGTGGTGGGGGGGTGCGTCCCCTCACGCACGGCCATCTATAATGACTGTTCTCTCTTCTTATCTGGATAAGAGTGAAGAAAATGAAAGACATATGCGAACAGTCTACAGTAATAATGAACCTCACAAACCCCAACTCAAGTACCCTGAAGCCAGAGGAACTACATGGTGCCTGGCTAACACTGCTGACTTCTCTGAGAGGGATCACAAGAGGATCATGGATAGAATGGGAGAGGAATGTAAAGCAAAATTCAAAATCCTAAAAATGGCCAGGATTACTGATCTGATGGTAACTGCTGGAATTCCCGAGACTATAGCCCTTAATGACCCTTTGAGTTTTGAAATGAATTTACCCCTGCAGCACAACGTTCAGCCAAACAATAATTGCAACTCAAATGTATTACTGTTGAGTGGACAGAGACTCATGGATGATCCTTCTGTGGGTTTATGGAGGCTGTAAATTGCACAGGAGGTGCTCTCTCACCTTTCTCCCAAAGAGTAGCTCGTGGATTTGAAACATCAGAGAGATGTGGCCTTTGGAAGAGGCCACCAACCAAACAGAGGCCTGGAAGCTGAATCACAACATCAAGGCTATAACCAGTATTTAGAACAATCAACCATCCAAGTTCAAAAGAGCAACATTTGCTCAAAGATTAAGCTCAGAAGACAGAAAGGGATTCCAACAAGAATCATGGGGAGGAAGTGGAGAGTGCTGATGTAATGTGGGATTATAATCAATGTCATAAAACAAAATGTGTACGAACGGTTGAATAGAAATCTAATCTGCTGTGCATACTTTCATTCAAATTACAAAGAGAAAAAAGAAAACCAAAATATTCTATGAACATTTTGCTAAACAAAAAGATATACCCAAATGCCTGAAGGTTAAATCCTTATTATTCAAAGCCTCACTTACACGGAGTACTACCTTTCCTGTGGAAAAGCAGTGTGCACTCAATATAAATCAGTCTTGACTTGGTTATTTAAATATGAGTGGCACTAAAAAGAGCCGAAATATAGATCATTTATACAGCCAGGTGTCCTCCTAGCTGGACTTCATGAGTAAGAATGTGGCATCAGGATTGGAGAATGACTCATAAACAACCTGCATTAGGCAGATGACAGACCTTGCTTGCTGAAAGAGAGGATTTGAAATGCTTGCTGTAGAAGATCAAAGACTACAGCCTTCAATATAGATTATATCTCAACATAACAAAAGTATAAATCCTCACCGCTGGGTCAATAAGCAAAATGCAGAAAAGACAGAAATTGTCAATGGTTTCATCTTGCTTAGATTCACAATTAAAACACTTAATACTGTTGCTGTTATTATGAGTACACTACAACTCATAGTTACCCTATGTACAATAGTTCTGAACCCTGCTCTATCCTGAGCCAGTCTCACTCTAACACATCTACCCTCATTATCCAAGTTATTCTGTCAATCCATGTCATCTGGGGTCTTCCTCTCCTGCACTGTCCCTTGACTCTTCCAAGCATGATATCCTTCTCCAAAGTCTGGTCCCTTCTGCCTACATGCTCAAAGTATGTGAGATGGAGTTTCAAAATCCTTGCCTCCAAGGAGCAACCTGGTTTCATCCTCTCCAGGACAGATACTGTTAGTTCTCCTGGCAGTCCATTGTATGTTCAATACTTTTTTTTAGCACCTCAACTGAAAGGCATAAATTCTTCTGTCATCCTTGGTCACTGTCCAACTCTCTAATGCATAGCAAGTAATTGTGAAAATCACTGCCTTAACAGGCACATCTTAGTCTCTAGACTCACATCATTGCTCGTCAGTAGTCTAGAGAGATCCCTTACAGTGGATTTTCCTAATACAATTCATCTTTTGCTTTCCTGATTGCTGGTGCCAAGAGTGTTGATTGTGGAACTGAGCAAGATGAAATTGTTAATCTCAATCTCTTCTCTGTCTATTGTGATGTTGCCAAATGGCCCAGGGGAGAGAACCTTTGTTTTACAGATATTGAGTTTCAACCTATATTGCAGACTACAGTCCTTGACTTTCTGCAGCATATGCTTCAGGCCCTCCTCAGTTTCAGCAAGTAAGGCTGTGTCATCTACATAATTCAGGCGGTCGATACGTTTTCCTCCAATACTGATGCCACATTCTTCCTCATAAACTCTACCTCTCAAATGATCTGTTACATAACAGATTAAAAAGGTCTGGAGAAAGGAAAAATCCCTGATATGCTCCTTTTCTGATTTTGAACCATGACAAAGAAAAAGGAAGAAAATATCAAGATGGATGTCTGAAGAGACTGAATATTACACCGAGAAGCCAAAGCAAAGGGAAGAAATCAAGAAGTTAAGGAGATGAACAGAAGATTTCAAATGGCAGGACAGAAAAACAAAGTCTTATATTGAGCTTGAGTCGGAAAATCAAACGGGTCAAACTCACATAGCATTTCTTAAGCTGAAGGAACTGAAGAACACATTCAAGCCTCGAGTTGCAATACTTAAGGATGATATGGGTCAAATATTGAATGATCCAAGAAGCATCAAAATAAGAGGGAAGTAGTACACAGAGTTACTGTACCAAAACTAACTGTCTGACAGAAGTATTTTATGAAACAACTTATGTTCAAGAAGAAGATGAAGATGAAGGCAGAAGGTCAAGCTGGTCTGAAGGAACAGGCAAAAAGAAGGCCTCAGGAATTGATATAATACTAAGTGACATATTTTTTTTAAAAAATGGAGCCCTGAAAGTGCTCATGAGGTTTTGCCAAGAAATCTGGAGGACAGCCACCTGTCGAACAGACTGGAAGAGATTCATATTTATTCTCAATACTAAAAGAGGTGATCCAATAGAGTGTGGAAATTATAGAACAGTATCACACACAAGCAAAATCCTACTGAAGATTATCCAAAAGCAACTAGAACAGCACATTAACTGAGAACGACAAGAAATAAAAGCTGGGCTGTGGCACTAGGGAAACCGCCACCAATGTCATATGGATCTTGGCCCAAAGCAGAGCATACCAAAGGAATGTCTATCTGTGTTTCACTGATTATGCAAAAGTATCTGACTGTGTGGATCACAACAAATTGTGGCGTATCCTTGTTATTAGCTGTCAGGAAATCAAAAGAAGGGCTGTATTGACAAATTCTATAGTCAGGGACTTCTCCAAAGTGCAAGAGAGCAAGGATGGCAGTCTAAAGATTAAGGTGCACCTGATCCAAGTCATAGTCTTTGCAGTTATCTGCTATGCATCTGAGAGTTGGACAGTGAATCAAGAAGTCATAAGGATCAATGGCTTTGAGTCATGGTGTTATAAGAGTACTAAATGACCTCTGGACTTTCGGAGAATAAAAAATTATGTCTTGGAAAGGATGTAGCCAGAGTATTCCTTAAAGGGAAAGAGGAAACTTTGTTTCACATACTACGGGCATGTTGTTAGGAGGGGTCAGTGTTGGTGAAGGACACCATGCACAGAAAGTGGAACGTCAGTAAAGGGGGGAAGACTCTCAATGAGAAGGACTGACGTGTTTGTAACAATAGGCTAAAGTATGGCAGAGATGATAAGGAAAGCACAGGATAGGACAGGGTTCAGGTCTATTGAGGATAGGGTTATTAGTAGTCAATTTGAGGACATCTAACAACAACATACGCTGCATATTCCTTTTTATCCCAACACTCCAGGGTTTAGGCTGGGTTGTATCCTTTCACCATATGTGTTGTTGTTATGTGCCATCTAGTCACCTGCAACTCATAGCGACCCTATGTACAACAGCCCTAAACCCTGCTCTGTCCTATGCCAGTCTGTCTCCGACACACCCATCCCCCCTACTCCAGTCACTGATTCAATCCACCTCATAGAGGGTCCTCTCCTGTGCTGTCTCTCCACCCTCCCAACCATGATGTCCCTCTCCAAGGACTGGTCCCTCCTTGGAACATGGCCAAAGCATGTCAGATGAAGCTTCAGAATCCTTGCCTCCAAGGAGCAGCCCAGTTGAACCCTCTCCAGGATGAACCTGTTTGTTCTCCTAGCAGTCCATGATACTCAATACTCTTCTCCAGCACCATAGCTCAAAGGCATCAATCAATTCTCTTTCTATCCTCCCTAGTCACTGTCCAGCTCTCTGATGCATAGCAAGTGATTGTAAAGACCATGGCCTGTGTCAAGTACACCTTAGTCTCCAGAGTGACACCATTGCTCTTCAATACTCTGGAGAGGTCCCTAACAGCAAACTTTCTCATCGCAATTTGTCTTTTAATTTTCTGGCTACTGGTGCCAAGAGTGTTGATACCTACTCAATATAAATGCTGAGCAAACAATCTGAGAAGTTAGTACTATATGAATAATGTGAGAGTGAGACTGGAGAAGACTTATCAACAGTCTACGATATGCAGATAACACAATCTTGCATGCTGAGGATGAGGAAGACTTGAAGCACTTACTGATGAGGATCAAAGACAACAGCCTTCTGTACTGATTACAGCCCAACAAAAAGAAAACAAAAATGGCAAACTGGACTAATATGCAGTATCAGGAAAACAGAGAAAATATGGCCATTTCAATGATTTCCTTTTACCTGGACTCACCATCAACACTCATGGAAGCAGCAGTCAAGAAATCAAATGACATATTACAACAGGCAAATGTGCTGCTGTGGACATCTTTAAAGTGGTACTGAACAAGTCAGTTTAAAGACTTCACTATAGTTTTGCAGACTAACCTGAAATGTACACGTGCCAATGACCACATAATTATTGCCACCATATGCAATTAGGTTTCCTGAATCTCCACTGTCAAACGGATTAAATTCTACCACATGCACATAATCTTCACAATCCACAGAGTAAGCAGCATTTCTTGTGGCATCGTGCTTCATCTTGTATGTCAAAACTTGAGCAGTTGTGAAAAAAAAATAGCCTTCTTTCTACTGGACAAGGTCACGAAGCTGTGGATTAGAGCACAAAGAGAATCAGAAGTGGTCAAAGTGCTAATGAAGCCATTTAGCAATGAAACAAAAATATGGCATTCCTTTGCCACAGATATCTTTAAAGGAATCAAACATTTAAAGTACTTATAAAAACAGCAGGAAAAGAATTTAATCACAATATTGTTTTCCTCATTTGTGAACAGAATTGTATAAACTGTACAATAGAACTCAATTGTGAACTGTCATTTTTAATAAGTCTTGGTAAAATCGCTCTTCAAAATAGGATCAATGTAATATTTTTTTTTTTTGAGCTTTCAAAGCCTTTGGCTCACACATACTTTTTTTTTTTTCAAACTGACATAATTTCTCGGTTTATTTTTTTTTATAATGCTTTTTTAAAAATTTAGGTTGTTTATTTTTCATTTCAATGAACATCTACAGAGATTTTGGGATTCCATTCATTCATTGTTGCACCCTTCTCCCGGCAGAAACCCTCCCCCCCCTTTGCTCCTCTCCCTGAAAAGCAAAACTCCCTCATTGGTACACAATCCCCCCCTCCCCAAACCCCACCCCCTACCCCCAAATATAATCCACTCTGCAACCCTCATTGCATACTCCTACGATAAAAATAATGGCCTAAAATATAATACTTTTAGACTATTCTCT